TGCCTGCACTGAGTACACTTTTTAAATAAACGAACGGTAAATTCAAGCTCGGAGAACTCGGATCAAAATACCGAACGCACGGAATGTTCGATTTGTATTGTCTACATTTGTTCTGCAAGACTACAATCTGGCTACACTGCAGCCAACTATTAAGCTCCCTTTTTCTATTTGTGGGAGACAGGTCAATAGGGTACTTGCCATAGAGAAATATAGTAAACTACGAGAGACGTTTGTTTAATGTAACAATCTGGAAGTGTGTTTGTGCACATACCCGTAGCGTATTTCGCATGGTGTGGCAGATTATTGAACTAATTACTTCGATCGTTTCTGACAACTCGGTTCAATTTGTCTTTGTCAGCAACTTGCCCGAAAATGTTCTATCTTTTTTTAACACATACAAAATACAAAATTGTCATAATTTGACAAATTATTGAATCGTCTATGATTAAATCCGAAGACCATCAATCAAAAGCTGAATGCTCATCATCATAACTTAAAATTTCTTCTATTAGAGAGTTATTGGAACTATTAAATACTGCCTCGCAGTATTAAAGATCTACGTTATTTGATTAGCGCATCAGCACTATCTTTCCAAGAAAAAAACAGTTATTGGAAGACTGTAGTAGGTACTAGGGTATTACCTTATTTTGTATTCATAATTTTGACAGCTGATAGCTATGTTTATAAATTTCAGCCTCAAAAAGTGTTTATTTTTGTTTGTGATTTTCTGCTGATACCCATTTTTGGATGTTACCCACAGTAAAATGGAAAACTATTGTAAAAAATAAATTTTCTAAGTAAAATTACGTCATCGTCAAAAAGCGAAACGTCAAAGTCGTCCAAAATGTCAGAAATTTGAAATAAGGGAAGTTTACTGCCTTGCATTAACCATACACAAATAAAGACAAGCAGTAACCTTATTAAGGGAATCCTTATTTCCGAACCCAAATGCGTATGCGTATATGTCAAAATAAGGCTAATTTAAATACTGCTTGTCCTTATTGCACGTCCAATAACTCTCTATTATTTATATTAGAGAAATGAGAAAACATTCTGTGATCATAAATATTAATTAATTAGACAAAACCGACACCAATAATAGTGTGTTTTCGAATTTGCGATGATGCGAGATGCAGTAAAAAGGTAAACACAAAGCTTATTATAATACAAACATTTTTAGTTACTATATATTTATAAAATTGGAATAAAAAAATAAGTTTGTTTGAAGATATCTCAATTTTTGTATTGTTCAATTACCTCCTTGACCCCCTAAAGGAATCTCATTGCATCTAATTTGGATTTTTTAAAAATAAGTTCTGGGCCGGTATTCTCGTTCTCGAAAACGCTCACCGCTTTTTAGTCGCTCGGCACTTCTAATGTAAATTTACATTGAGAGTGCCGAGCGACTAAAAAGCGGTAAGCGTTTTCGAGAACGATAATACCGGCCCTGTTATCGTTCTAAACAGTTGCTCGGTAAATTTTAGCAAGTTTTTTCAACAAATGTTTTGCTTTGCAATTAACTGTTTTGACCATTTACAGTACTTTATTTTTAATGAATCTTAAATAAAATCAAAGTTAATAATTTGATTATTCAAAAAAGAAGAAACCTGCATTCAAATAATGTTCACTCTTTTATTGCTGTCCGTAGCCACCAGAGGCGCTATTGTCGACATTGTGCCAGTTAAGTACAGGGGAATGACTTCTCTCGTAGTTTACTACTATTATATTTCTCTATGGTACTTGCATGGAAAATTAAATTGACAATTCCACTCATGTATAAATAATCCCATTTGAAATGTCAAAAATCGTAGTTTGCTAGCGGATAAATAGGAAGGAAGAGAAAATATAACTGGATAAAAAAATCGGATAAATTTTCTGTTGATGCAATCGTTACTCTACAGGGTGTCCCACGGTGGATGGCGTATTAGACGTTTATGGAGAACTAAAAAGCGGATCTTTTTGAAAATTTGGCAACCGGGATAAACGACCATGATCTACATTTTAAAAATATTTTTGTTTATGCGGTGTTGTCGCTTTTACTCTAAACCAGTGGCAACATCGCTATTTTAAATAGAACACCCTGTATGTGATTGCATATTTGGATTCTACGTTAAATTCTGAGCAGATTTCATGTGATATACCCTATACCTAGGTTCAACTGTTTTGGAAATATTGACAGTTGAAAATTGACTTTTTGCAACTTTGACAGGTTGTAAAACCTGAAAGGTGAATTTTAGAGAAAAAACTATTTTACATTCATATCTTAGATTTTCATGAACTATTATTTGACACCAACTTTGAATTTATTCCATGATTAAAAATTCCAATTAAATTTAATCTCCAGTTAAATTCAAAGTTGGTGTCAAATGATAGTTCATGAAAATCTAAGATAGGAATGTAGAATCGGTTTTTCTCTAAAATTAACCGTTCAGGTTTTACAGCCTGTCAAAGTTGCAAAAAGTCAATTTTCAAATGTCAATATTTCCAAAACAGTTGAACCTAGGTATAGGGTATATCAGATGAAATCAGCTCAGAATTTAACGTAGAATCCAAATATGCAATCACATACAGGGTGTTCTATTTAAAATAGCGATGTTGCCACTGGTTAAGAGTAGAAGCAACAACACCGCATAAACAAAAATATTTTTAAAGTGTAGATCATGGTCGTTTATCCCGGTTGCCAAATTTTCAAAAAGATCCGCTTTTTAGTTCTCCATAAACGTCTAATACGCCATCCACCGTGGGACACCCTGTATAGTAACAATTGCATGAAAAATTTTTCGGCCCCCTCAGCGCGGGGTTTTGCCACCTAATAAAGGGGGCCACAGGGGGCTGGGCCCTCCAAATATAGGGCTCCCGCGGAGCTTCGCCCCCTAAAAGGGGCCCCGCGGGGCTGGCCCCCGCAAAAAGGGGGCTTCATCGGGGCTCCGCCCCCAAATAGGGGGCCCCCGGATTTTATTATGGGTAGCAGAAAAAAAGTGCGCGGGAAAAAAAATTTCCCGCACACGTTTAGGAAAGGGTTTCTTTGCGTACGCAAAAGTACTACTTTGCGCACCCTCGTGGAAAAATATTTTATTTTGATTTTGCATTCGTGGAATTGCCGTACTAAATATCATTCGAGCACAGATTTTGTGCAGGATATTTTTTTGCTTGCTCTCTCATACTTACTTTCATGCAATTTATCTTGATCTGTTCCACAAAATCACTCGAGCTGCGCTCTCGTTAAATTTCCTGAAAAAAAGTATTCGAGACCAAGCCAAAAAATATCCGGCTAAATCTGAGCTCTTATGGTATTACCTACGATTATTCTTTATTGCAAACTGTAGCAAATCGAAAAAAAATCGATGCGTGTTTTCTTATTTTGTCCAAATATGATTATTCCGAAAGTTATACAAATATTGAGTTTTGTATACCGGGTGGGGCACGAAAAACTTTTCAGGTGTTTAATCAAAAATCGCTCAGACACGTCAATTTTTGTTTTTTGGGGGACACATTCTATTGGTATTTTCACCCCCTACTCGTGAATCGCTAAGTGGGGGTAACAGGTACCCCCAAAATTTCAAATGGAAAAAGGGGTCGAGTGATATGTCATTTGGTAGCTATTTTTATTGAGATTATATCCCCGAAGTTTTGAGTTGTTACTATTAACCCTGCCGAAATGGCGGCATGTCAAAGTTAGGATAAATGCTTTTTTTCGTTAAGGTTTAAAGTCAACTCCTATTTTCTGAACCTTGTGTTCAAAAATTCCAAAAAAAATATATGTTTTATGGTTATCGATATAATTTAATCCAAAATTTTTTAAAAAAAACTGAAAAAAAGTAGTTTTTCACCATTTATTTCAAAACGAATAGATGAAGTTTCCCATTATTTTTCTTACAAACTACTATTGCAATTCTACGCGACATATATTTTTTTCAAATTTTTTGAACTTGTAGTTTTCTCGCTACTGCAAAAATAGTTGGAAATACGCCCGTAGCTACACTGTTTAGAAAAAAAGCCGACGGATGAACGTTCAAAATTATTTGCGTTGGTCGAAACTACAACCCTGTTTATGTAAAACAGAATAATACTTCGAATTTCCGCCAAAAAAAGAAAAAACGTTATTTAACCAAATGAAGATTTCTATTTTTTTTTGACAGTCAAGTTAGGGCACACTATAGGGGCGACAGCATTGACATCTCGCGTTGCTGTAATAAACTATAGGCCTGACTTTAAGCCTTGCTGTATATAGTAGCAACTTGAAACTTCGAGGATATAATCTTAATGAAAATAGCTATCAAATGATGTATCACTCGACCCCTTTGCATTTGAAATTTTGTGGGTACCTGTCACCCCCACTTAGGGGTTCACAGGTAGGGGATGAAAATACCAATAAAATGTGTCCCCCCAAAAACAAAAATTGACGTGTCTGAGCGATTTTTGATTAAACACCTAACACCTGAGAAAACCTGGGTGGAAAGTTTTTCGTGCCCCACCCGGTATATACATATACTGAGCATGTGCAACGTCACAACTCATAATGTATTATACTTAAGTTATGACGTCGGAAGGACATTTCAAAGCGTTGTAGAGTAGAAATCAAACGAGAAGAAGCCACGCGCGTTATCGTTTGTCTCACTTTAAATGGGAGGGACCCAGAGAAAAACAAATCTGCTTTCTTTGTCAGCGCTGATGACAGTGGCTTCTTCTCGTTTGATTTTTACTCTATCTCCTATCTCCTCCAATTTTTGACTTACCAGAAAAAGAAAAAACACGCATTGACTTATTTTTCATGGACTATCGAAATCAGCAATAAAAAAATTTGATGCAAGGGGTCTATTCAATGCTTTACCTGCTGCCAAAAACTGGTTCCACTTAGATTCATAGCAGAATAGCGCGTTCCTACTCCTTATGTCCATAGGACAGCGCTTAACCTGCTCTTTAGAATCGAACTTTACCCTGGTGTTCGAGCTAATATTTAATTAGTGGAAGGACCAAAGTGGAGAAATTCGTAGAAAAATTTAGAGTTTGGACACTGGAGCGACTTGTTTATTCATTGTTTTAAATAAAAATTCACAATAATATAACAATCAATAATAAAACAAAAATATTTGCATTAGTTTTCAAGCAAATTCCCTTGTTGTCAGTCGTTGGTACTGGTACTGTTGAATTATCATCTGGGAGTGGTTTTGCATCTTCTCGTGGTTCCATAACTTTGACAATGCTATCAATATAATATCCAATGGGAGCAAACTGAAATGGCTCTCCGTTGCAGTAAAGTCCAGGAATCAAAATACCAACTTGAAAATCGCCGCACATGACTGGACCGCCTTGTTGATTTGCATCGCAAAATAAATTTTCTTCGTTCAAGCTGCAGAATTGTCCGTCATTTAACTGAATTTTGAATTGTTCTGCACACTTCTTCGCTGCAATTATATCCACCGTAGCGCCTTGTTTCCAGCCTAAAACGGTGGCTTTTTTACAAGGTGTGTCTGCTAATTTAAACTGCGCAGTGCGATACTCTGGAGCCCATGATGATTTTGGTGATTTGATGTCTGAAGGTATCAAAAATTTGACAAATGTAAAAGTTGAGCGAAGCATAGGGCGTGGTAAGTGTGGTAAGTGTGGTGGTAATTGTGGTGGAAATTGTGGTAATTGTGGTGATTGTGGTGGTAATTGTGGTGGTGATATGGTTATGATTGTAATATCGCCATTACTAAACAGATTTGAGTTCACTGATCCTCCGAGGCCAGCCATACTGCCTATCGTAGCACTAACCGCATTACTAACCACTGCTTGAACCAACCCTATAATCGAAAAAATAAATCGCTTTCTTCGTCGTTGTCGAGCCACCAGATTGGCTTCATATCTCCACGGACTTAAAACCAATAATTTTCCTGAAGCTAAAACTTTGGTAGGAGATAACAGAGTACCCACGGCTACTCTTTCCTTTGTGTCTTTTCTTACGACTTCTACCAAAAAGTTATAATTTCCGGACGGCCGTTTTTCCGAAACACTAGGATCATCTCCAGAGCCATATGAAGCAACTGCAACGAGAAATAATACATATTTCCACATACCGATGCGCATTATAAACTTTGCTTGAACGAATAATATGAAAATTTTTGTATAGAAATGACGTTTTTATGACATGTTACTAGTCGTCTGGTATATCGTCTTGGTAACTTCTTTAGGCCATTCCCACAAACAGAACGGGCATTCCAACGATCTGTCAAAAATGGCGATTGGCCAGGGCAGGCAAATGTTAAGAGGAGAGGGGCCTTTAAATAAAATGTCATTTACAGACCTTCACAAAATACTGTTCAATTCCAAATTTAGAGCACTTTTGTAAAATGAAGTTATGTTCATAACAATAATTGGAGTAGAACTCGAAGCATTTTTGGTTGCAAAATACGCATTCTAAATAGTAAAATTATTACCATTTTGTTGACAACAATATGCAAATTTTGGTCACGGATTTAAATGAAAAAGGGGGGATAAACATATAGAGTAGCACACCAACAATAACTGTCCAAAATTTCGGATAGTAAAATTCTGGAAAAAATGAATAGAACAGAATTTTCGAAAATTATAATTTTTGAATCATAGTCAAAATCTGCCAAACAACGAGGTGATTGCTGTCATTTTCAGCAAAGACTCAAATCAAATTTTTGTTCAGCGCTTCTCTAAAAGATGTCGCTGAGTTCGGGAAGGATAGTCACTTCTTTTAAATGCCAGTAAAAACTGTTTCACCTAGCTAAAAATGTGAAATACTATTATTTCATTTGTATCTGAATAAAATTATGTAGTCCACTGTAAATTACTGTGTAAACGAATTGATATTGAAGATGTCGCCATCTACTTGTAAATTAGTCAATTACTTACAGAGAATTTGATTAAAAAATATTTAATGTATGTTATAAAGCCCAAAAGATGGCGCGCTGGCTCTTATCTGACGCCCCTCTTAAAGTGCGCAAAAATATTGTAGTACAGTAAATAGGGACAAATAAATCGCATTTACTAAAAAATACTAATGGCTGAAATTTTGAGGGTGTGTTCGGGGGCATGATCTGAATCAAGGCCCAATTGTACAATCTTGGTTCAAAACAAAGTTCAGTTGAGCTCGACTGGTACTTGAACTTCCCCATTTGAAATGCATATTGCTGTCAAAAAAGATAGAATTTGATTTATAGCTGACAGCAATGTATTTTAAATGGGAAAGCTCAAGTACCAATCGAGTTCAGTTGAACTTTGTTTTGAACCGAGATTGTACAACTGGGCCTAAAACTGAGTTTCCGTATTCGAGGGGGTGGGGGAAAATACTACCCCCTCTTTATGTAGGGTTGAGTTCGTTTTAATTCCTTATCTTCGGTGCTATTGCCCGTACCGTCAAGTCCAAGAGATCAAATTTGTGGAAAATGAAATTATCTATCTAATGATGATAAAATCAAGGTCATAGGACGATTAGGTGAATCACAATGGCCGGTAAAAGGTCAAAAGTGGGGGGTAGTTTTTGGTTTTTCGTGAATACCGTGAGACCGGTAGGTTTTTTCGCACACTGCTTCGATACCATTTCGAAGTATTTGAAATTGCCTACAAAATGAGTGCTCAAACACTCATCTACTGTGAATAGTTTGCGGTCAATCCAACGACCAATGGCGTTTCCGATTGGTAGATTCAGTGCGCACTGAGTGTATTTGCATCTTTTTAATTGACATGTAGGAGAAAAAGATAGAAATAGAAAAAATTGCACTAGTTTCGCACTAGATCTACCAATCGAAAACGCCATAAGTTGACCGCGCGCGTTGTACGCGCGATCCGCGCACGGCGCGAGAAGTACTCTCATTGAGCGTACATTGCACTCTCTACGTGAGTACGTGCAATTAATAACTATATGGTTATATTTTCTTCTCGGTAAAATGATTAATTTAGTTTAAGGTGAAGTTGTTTTTTGTTTTTTTGTTTTTTTTATCTAAGGGAAATCCATCATGGACAAACGAGAAGGTTTGTCCCATAGAGAAATATAATAGTAGTAAACTACGAGAGAAGTCATTCCCCTGTACTTAACTGGCACAATGTCGACGTTAGCGCCCCTGGTGGCTACGGACAGCAATAGAAGAGTGATCATTGTTTGAATGCAGGTTTCTTCTTTACCGACAGTGAAAAGGCGGCTTTTTTGAATAATTAAATTATTAACTTTGATTTTATTCAAGATTCATTAAAAAAAAAGTACTGTAAACGCTCAAAACAGTTAATTGCAAAGCAAAACATTTGTTGAAAAAACTTGCTAAAATTTACCGAGCAACTGTTTAGAACGATAACAGAACTTATTTTTAAAAAATCCAAATTAGATGCAATGAGATTCCTTAAGGGGGTCAAGGAGGGAATTGAACAATACAAAATTGAGATATCTTCAAACAAACTTATTTTTTTATTCCAATAGGGAACTTGACAAAAAATTTAAACATGAAAATATTACTATAAATCATAAGAATACATTAATTAAAAACTATATCAGCGAAAAAAACAATTTTTTTTTGTCGCAAACGGCCACAATAGGGAATTAAAAATGCGAAAAAATTCAAATTATTTCCAGCGGGAAAAAACGCTCTGGTACTGGTCGTGACGTCATGTAGTATGAATTGTCAGTGTCTGTCAGCAACCGTCCATCATACCGTGAGTTCGTCTTGAAACACTGAGTGCTCGGAGCATTTTCCGTCTTTTTTCTTTATGATGAGAAGAACAGGGATAAAAGAACAAAACATCAACTCCGAGCGTTTACTCGAACTCTACATAATAAATACCCGTTAGCTGTGTTTATTTACGTTTTTCTCTGATTTTTTAAAATTTTACATTTATTAGAATTGGTTTACTTAACTTAAATTTAATGATCAGCTCAGCATTATATGGATAAAACGATATACCTATTAATTATGACCGAAGAAGAAAATTCCAAAGGCCAATCCGACAATCTGTAATTTGTGATATGGTAGCAAAAGTAAGTATGTGCGAATCTTTTTTTCCATTATACTTCAAAATTTACAACTTGCCGCAGCACAAAACAACAACAAACCAAATAACTGTGGAAAATGTGGAAATCAACCAAATTAAATACAATAAAGTATGACGTTTGACGACAAGGTGAAGCCGGCGCCACACGATGTGTCGAATGCCTTTTAACGTTGGACAGATAGCGATTTGTGGCATCGTGTAGCCGTGCGCTCATCGGATACATGATGATACATTTGCCGAATGCTAGAGTAAAAAACACTGTACCCAACGTTGGATCAATCCAACGTTGGGGCCAATGGTTGGACACATAGTGTGCCGCCGGCTTAACGCAAAATCATACTACGTGACGTCATCCAGATTCGCGCGCATTTAGGGTCGTTTGAAATGCTCTTAATTCGCGCGAAACTTTAAACATTTTTCACCAAGTTATTATTGAGTTCTAGGGAATAATATTTGGGGAATACTCTTTCAAGGCATAAATAAATGATTTGACAAAATCAAAAAAAAATTGTAAAGTTTCCTATTTTATAAATATACAGTAACTAAAAATGTTTGTATTAAGCTCTTTGTGTTTACCTTTTTACTGTATCTCGCATCATCACAAATTCGAAAACACACCATTATTGGTGTCGGTTTTGTCTAATTAATTGATATTTATGATCGCATTGTTTTCTCATTTCTCTAATATAAATAATAGAAGAAATTTTACGTTATGATTGTGAGCATTCAGTTTTTGATTGATGGTCTTTGGATTCAATCATTTGTCAAATTTTGTATTTTGCATGTGTTAAAAAAAGATAGAACATTTTCGGGCAAGTTGCTGACAAAGACAAATTAAACCGAGTTGTCAGAAACGATCGAAGTAAGGCCGGATTTTCATGCATCCGTTTTCCGACGAAATATGTCCGAAAAATCTTCTATTTTGACATATTTTTATACGATTATGTCAGAATAGAATGTTTTTCGGACATCTTTCGTCGGACAAACGGATCCACCCTAATTAGTTCAATAATCTGCCACACCATGCGAAAATAAATTTTACCTTGAAGTTTTCCTGTTTGCACCTCTATATGAATTTGGCCCTTTCGCCTCTTTCGTATTCTTCATCATTAGACTAAATTAATCATTTTACCGAGAAAAAACCAGGGGGCGGATTACGAATTCTCGATTCGAACCGAAACCGCCATGGATTTTGAACGCACTCCATGCAAATGCATCAGAATGCGTTCGAAATCCATGGCGGTTTCGGTTCGAATCGAGAGTTCGTAATCCGCCCCCAGATGTCAAATTTTTGCTTGCATATCGCTTCCTAGATAAATAACTATAGTGAAATTATTTAAACAGTGTATCCACGTGATCAATGACGTCGAAATTATTGCCAATTGCAGTTTTTAAGAAATTAAAATTCTTTTCAAGCTGAGAGCTCATTCTCCTTTTTATTTAACCTTAGTTAAAAAAAGACAAAACACTGTTGGCATTTAACCGAATCGGCCGATAAAATGACATTTAGATTGGCACTCATGGGTTATGTTGCCAAATATTGCTGCAAATCTGCGGTTACTGATTTTAATAATTTGAAATTATTTCTATTTGTGTATCTATAAAATGCCAAAGCCATTGAATAGTCAGAGTCAGAAACTCGTTGTGTCTCTAATTAGTTTCTTTGAACAGGAACGAGATAATGGGGGCCCCATTTTGCCATTAAATAGCGTTAGAGAGGTGAAGTATATTGATACTATCAAATATAAATTTTCTGGGGCTTTAATTGGGAATATTTTTCTAGCTTGTTGAAGCTGCACTGAATATTGGTACCTATAACCACTGTGAGTAAAATCCAATGTGAAATCTCTCAAAAAGTTAGGGATAATTTAGCGTTAAATTCACCAAAGAAAAAACGTCCACATAAGAAGCGGGTTACTGTTAAAAACAATGAATGTATTTAGTATGACGTCATGATTCTGTGTGTCATGTCCTTGATTAGTCAGGAATATGTAAATGTAAAACGTATGTCTTTTATTGTAACAAGTCTGAAAAAATGTCAAGTTAAAAAGTCACTTGTCACACACTGAAAAATAACGGCACGTGTGAATTATCTGTTGTTGTTGTAATCCGGGTAACTTTTGAATAA